ACTAAGACTTCAGTGTTGACCTTGCACAGTCATTCATTTCCTCTCAATCTCCTGTAACTGCAGAACCCTTCACTGCAAAGTGGAAAGAGCCCAAAAGGCCAGATATTAGCTGTAAAATTATCATTTCCACAAAAGCTTCTCTTTTCTACACGTCTCCTTTAGTCCTCTTGGGGACAAATTGTCTTACAACCTTGTTAGATGCTTTTGCATCAAATATGCCTCAATAAAAAACAAAATACACTTCAGTTGCAAGACTATAATCTGAGAAACTGTTATATCTTCACTCCAAGCTGTTAAGTGTTTTTGCACAGGAGTAGTTTATCTGCATGGGGTTTCTTGGGGGGTTTGGTTTTTTGTTTGTTCGTTTGGTTTTCGGCTGGGAGCAATTTATGGGTGGTTTTGACTTGAGTCAAATCCGGGACTGAACAGGTTGCACAGACAACAGAGGAGAGGGGGGCAGAGGACCTGTTTTCTAAAACTGTCCCAAGTGTTAAGCTTTTTCTTTGTCAAAGGTTGTGAGAAGTTTTGCATTGCCTGTCTGGTCTGATGAGAAATGTTGTGGTGTGAACTAACATGATCCTAAAGGAGACATATCTAAAATGGATCTATTTTTATTCTGCCACTGGCTTGCTGAACGACCTTGCATAAATCACAGCCACGTACCTCATTTTCAATTATGTAAATCAGGGATAAAAATTATTCACCTTCTTAAAGTGTTTTGAGATGTACTGATGCAAAGCTAGATGCTATTGATTTTAACACTTCACAATTAACGCTCCATTTCTAGTGATCTGATGCTGCTATCAAAACTCCCACCGCTTTCTTGGTGATGTCTCATGTGGTAGGATTTAGGGATGGATGGTCATCTAAGAAGGCAGGGGATAAATAATGTCAGAGGACAAAAGACTGATAAACTGGTTTTGCAATGGTCATTACTTTATGTTTCAGAATATGTGAAAAGAAAAAAAAAATGCAAATGGAGAGCTGGATGGTGATTGTGAATGGCTGGGCAGCAGCAGTTCTTCACTGGCCCCTGAGCAGTTAATGTCCCAAGCAGAACGTTTCTTTTATTCCTATGGGAAGACAAACACTAGTAAGGACAACTTCTATCCTTGTTGGGCCATCAACCATTTTTTAAAACAAACCAAAGAAGACCTGTGACAGATAGACAAGGGTCAGAGAGGAAAATCAATTAATACAGCTGCAAAGAGTGGAGACAGTTTAACTTCTGTGGATTGGGGTTTTAGTTAAATGAAGCAGTAACTTCATTATCTGTGTTCTATCTACTGCTTCTAAAGTCAGGCTTGGTTGTGCTGATCACTGCAGAAATACATGATGAAGAACTTACAATACAAGCTCTGTCCAATGTCAGGAAAGTGGAGACTTTTAGCATCACCTGGAAAAAAGGCAAAATGGTCCCGTGAAGACCTTGCAAATGTACACAGAGGGTCCTTAGAATCATCATAGAATCATAGAATGGCTTGGGTTGGAAGGGACCCCAAAGACCAGCTCATTCCACCCCCTCTGCCATTGGCAGGGACACCTCCCAACAGACCAGGTTGCTCAAAGCCTCATCCAGCCTGGCCTTGCCCATCGTCACCCAGTTGTCAGCTTGGGCCCTTTTGGAAAGGAGGATAAATGGCACAAATAACTGCTCTTTTGGATAAGGACACTTGAGGAAGAAAACACATATCCCTACATGACACTAAATTACACAACTGCCAGAGTCAAGCAAGCAAAGTGATTCCATTCTCCCCAAAGCTCTTCTCCTCCTCTAATTACATTTGAAATGTTTTGCACGCTATTGAAAATGTCACTTCCAGCTGCGGACCGTTAAGGAGCCTACGTGGCACAGCCCTGGGTTTTGTTAGGACAGGTTTGCTGCTGGGGATTTTGACGGCAGCAAAACAGGCCTTGAGTGAAGTCCCTTTTGTCACAAACATCGAACGCTTGTTATGGTGATAGAGGATCTTCCACAAAGGCACAGTGGTGGCCAAACTATTTTAAAGACCAAGACCTACATGATCAAGCAGAAACTGCTCAGAGGTGTTATTTTTTCCCTCTGCCCCAAAGCAGTAATGGAGAGAAATGTAGAGGTTCTGGTTTACACTGGGGTCACTTCAGAAAAGCCCATGGTGCCTTCCGAGGCATTTGTGCAGTTGATTTGGGACTGAGTCCTTCTTCTCCTGGTATTTTCAGTCAAGCTGCCAAAGGGATACAAACAGATTTACTCCAGCTCTTCTGCAAGCACTGAAGGTTAAGTGATGGAGAAACTGTGGCTTTCACAGTGGATTAGGATCCACCATCCAACAGTATCCAGGGAAAACGCTGATGAGCCATCACTGCAGAGATCCTCCACCCCTGGCACCAGGGGACATGGACAGGGAAGGAAGATGTGCTGCTCTGCACATAACCAGTATAGCATTTACCTGGGGTCAATCTTTTATCTCAAGAAATTAAAAGCAATACAGGATACTTCTACAGCTTCCAGGTCCCCCCAAATCGGTTTTAAATTGATAAATTTAAATTTGCAGTTTTGTCCTGTAGCTCTCCTGGTGAGTGGCTGCTGGGAACAAGCTGGAGAAGAGAGAGCAGGGTATGTGCATTGTATTCAGTCTCTCTCCTCATACCACTGCTTGGCACTGACGCTGTCCCACTGTGGTGGTTTGACCCTGGCCAGTGACAAACACCACACAGGCGCTCCCTCACCTTCCACCCTCCCAGGGGTGAGGCAGAACATTAACGGGGTGAAGGGAAAAGAGGCTCATGGGTTGAGAGTAAGAACAATTTAATAACTAAAGTACAATAATATTGAAAATAATAACAATAATAATAATGATAATAGTAATATATGCAAATACACAAATGAGAGCTACACAGTGATACTGCTTGCTACCTGATGACCAAGGATCAGCCCATTTCTGGCTAACGATCCTGGAGTAGGAAGAGTCCCAAAACCACAATCCAGGAAAAGAGATAAGAACCTGAGCATCCAAGGGCCAACTGAGAGAGAGGGGAGTGACCCAGAGAGAGAGAGAGAGGGAGCACTTCTGGACAGAGCCTCATCCATATACAGGGCATGCCAGCCATGGGATGGAACAGACCATTGGCCAACTTGGATCTCAATCCTAAAACTAAGATCAAATCCTGGGCTGGTCACTGGGGCTGTGCTCCCTCCCAGCTTCTCCTGCCCCTGCAGACACGGGCCCAGCAGAGAAGCTGAAAAGTCTTTTACTTATCAGCCTTCTTCTCAGCACAAATCTAAAACATAGTCTCTTACTAGCTACTGTGAAGAAAATTAACTCTGTCTGAGCCAAACCAGGACACCTAGTCATGCTGTTCAATGTTGGCAATAGGACTAAGATCAGCAATTTATTCTATCCTGGTCTGCAGTCATTGATCTCTCTCGCTGGAGAATGGTGGGATGTTTTCTTTCTTTGATCCTGTACTGTTTTAACTGAAGTTTTGATGGAAGCAGAGCAGCCTCCTGAATATGCTGCAGAGACGTTCATTGAACTTAAATGGAAATGAGCCTGCCAAAAAGATTAACAGCTGATAATGCCAACATATTAGAATGAATTTCCAAACAGCCCCAAAGAGCAAGTTGCTCCAGTTAGAGTGCAGTGGGAGCCCTGAGGAACTTGATAAGATCAGCCCAGGAGGCAGTAAACCGGTGAGGATCTGTGATCACGTGCCAAGTCACCCCCAAAATCCCTTCATACACTTGTTCTGCTGCTGGAGCCTGGAGGAGGTCTGGCACATCTGGGAGGTCCATCCAACTCACCTACCCGGGTCCTGCACCCATGGTATTTGCACAGGTGTCCTTATTGGCACATGGCACTGTCTTCCCAGTTCAAGAGAGACGTGGATGTACTGGAGAGAGTCCAGTGAACAGCCAAAAAGATGATTAAGGAATTGGAGCATCTATTGTACAAGGAGAGGCTGAGAGAGCTGGGACTGTTTGGCTTGGAGAAGACAAGGCTCAGGGAGATTTTATCGATGTGTACAAGTCTCTGATGGGGAGAGTAAGAAAATGGAGCCAGACTCTTCTTAGCAATTCAATTCTAATCGAAACATAAGAAAAAAGCTCTTTCCTCTGCACAGGTAATCAAATACTGGCACAGGTTGCCTAGAGATATTGTGGAGTATCCACCCTTGGAGATATACAAAACCTGACTGGACACAGCCCTGAGCAACCTGCTTTAGCTGACATTACTCTAAGCAAGGGGTTGGACTAAACCTTCTCCAGAGGTCCCTTCCAGCCACGATGATTCTGCAGTTCTGTGCCCTCAAATTTAAGGGGCAAGTGGTGTCTTTAGTTAAGGTCTGTGCTTTGCAGGGAGTGATTTCCTATCTTGACAAAGGTTCAGGAAGACAAAATACAAAACAGGAATAGTTGTGAGGCTGGTAAAGATCTGCCAACACGTGGTTGGAGGGATCGCAGTCCACAGGAGCAGGGTGGCTTGTTGACACAACTCAAAAAAGGTGCCATCTTTTTCTTTTCAGGGCTAAAGAAGATTAATATTTGCACACTATGGGAGTAGGCACATGGCAGTGAATTCTGGGAAGAACAAGAGCTGTTTAATGTCTCTGAGATGTAAATAATAAGTCAGAAGAGATCTCTCATAATGAGCATTTGTAAGTAGAACTGTCAGAACCTCCTGTCCCCTCAAGCTCAACAAGAGCTGCTTCTATTTCAACAAAGAAATCAGGAAAATGTTCCCAAAACCCTTTTCTTAATTTCCAAGTTGCTTTTCCACTGAAAAGGAAAAATAAAGCAGAAAACTAAAAGGAAGCTGTGACTCCTCAGAAGGCCCCAAGGCAAAAGTTAGGTGATTCAGTGGTTCCTGTTGGAGCACCCATCACTTGTGACGTTATCTGAAGGAAACAGAGATCATTTCAAGTACCAACAGGATGCTCCCAAGGAAAGGTATCTCATCTCCTTACCCAAGCTACGTGAAAATATCCACATCTTTTTTTTTATTTTGTTGTTTTACCAGGAATCGCACCAGGGTGGCACTTGGAATATATTGATGTGACCGACTCGGCCATGGACAAGACATTTCGCTTCCAGTGTGATCGCTGGCTGGCTAAAGGTGAAGACGATGGGCAGCTCATAAGGGAACTGGCTTGTGCCAATAATGACATCCTGGAACTGAAGGAACGGACCGGTAAGTTTAGAATTGACTTGTGGCATTTTCTGAGGGACCTCAGAGGCCACAGGACCACATCTGCTGGAAGCTGCTCCACTGAGGTTTCCCATGCAGCAACAATTTGGATTTGCAGGCTTTAAGGGTTGAATTACTAAAGGTACTCTTTAGTTTAAAAGTGAAATGCTGTGATAAAAAAGAAACAAATCAGAATTTATGAAGAAGAAAAAGATATTATTCTGGGTTGGAACTTAAGAGAGAACCCCATCTGCAGCGGTTCAATCCAGCAATAAGCCATAAGGACGCATGGTTATGGTCTCATAAAATAACGAGCTTGAGTCTTTGAGGTGGAAAATAAGTTCAATCCTTAAAGCTTTGTAAGTAACATTGCTCCAGCTTCCTCCTTAACATGTTCTACTAGCTCAAGTATCCCAGCTGAACATGACAGCTAAGCTTAACATCCCATAGCCCTGGGTCTGCTCTGGGTAATTCCACTGAGTTCAAGGTAATTATATCGGTGTTTAATGTGCGAGCAATTGAGTGAGCAGGAGTTATTTAATGGCACTGATGATATGCAAAGCGCATCTCAAGAACTCCTGCACTGCGGTGCTCTTCTTCAGGAGCATCCTGGAGAGTCAATAATCTCATTACTTCTGTGGAATTTCTCTCTGTCCCTGCAAAAAAAACAACAACAACAAAAAAAAAAAAACCAAAAAAACAAACAAACAAACAAAACACAAACCCAACAGCCTTGTGATTGGCATTTTGTGTATTTATGTGCCACCATGGCGTCTGAGAACATACTGTTGGGTACATGGATACCCTCACTGTTCCTGTTAGGAACAAAAATTCAGGTTGCTTTAAAAAGAGAGTCCTTAGCGCAGCAGGGAGCTGGCCACAGCTTGTTCAAGAGCAGCTCCCTCTACTCTTGTGAGCTGATCGAGCAGTAATCCTGTTTTTTCACATACTCTATCCCTGCACGAAACCCAAAGTCAAAACTCCTGCAGATTTCAGCGTGGTTCCATCCTTATTTTGCAAATGCTTTCCTGTGTGCTGTGATAAATATTAGGAAGAGAGTTTTTAAGCAAAGTGACAGCCAAATGAAGAGATCTTTCTGGCCATCTGCTCTTCCTTTTCTGTTTAACGTTTGTGTTAATTATGCTTGAAAGCCTATGAGATTGTCACAGTAACGAGCGACAGAGAGGATGCAGAAACAAAGGAAAACATCTGGATCATCTTAGAAGGAAAGCTGGGCCGCTCGAAAGAATTCCTTATGGAAAACTCCTCCAAGAAAAGGAGATTTGAAAGGTAGTGGGACTGGGTGGTGGGCTAGAGGAGCTCCCCACCAGCTGTTTGTCTTCCACAAACGTCAACTCTTCTCTGTGGTGGTCTAGAGCATTGAGTTACTGCCATGATGTTTCTCTCAAAACTCTAATGGCTTCTCACCTGGAGTAAAAGGAAGATACAAAAAATTAATTTCTGATGGGCAGACACAGAGGGAGTTTAAAAATTATTTAAAAAAGACATTTGGTGGAAGGAAATGTAGATAAAGCATGTGTGCGTGTGTGTGTCCTGTTGTATTAGCACATACAAACAGGCTTCTGGTGAGCCCCCGGGGAGGATGTGTATTTTTGAGCCGGGAGGAGCAGAAGGAAGCTGGAGGTGTTTTTCGTTCCTTTTTGCAGCATCTCGCTGGCGGTGGGAATCAGAGAGAAAGTAAAGAGAAAGTTGGAGGCAAAACATTGTCAAGCTGCTCAGATCTGACTTTGCAGATGAATCTGGGGGGGATGAGGCTGAAGATCACTGTCGCAGGAGGAAGGCTGAGGATCAGCCTCGTACACAGTGCTGGAGGCGCATCGATGTAACGTGGGGCAGATCCCTTCTCCCATGTGGGAGCAAAGTGTTCCAGATGTGAGATGGGTTATTTATTTTGTTTAAGGACACAGCACGCTGTTAGGAGATGAGAAAGCCACAGATGCTGCTGATGTTGGGTTGCTTTGCAGGGAGGAAAGGTTTTTCTTGTGGCTCTGTAAAATAAGGTGAAATTCCAGCTGATGGGGACTCTAGCATGAATGGATCAGATATTTAATCTGAAAAATGAAAGATCCAGAGGAGCTTCCTCCTGACCTTCAGCTGATGGTGTCTATGCTGGAGTTAAAGACACCCCTCTCCAAAAGCATTAGTCACAGTCCGCCGTTGGAGGCAGGTTTTAATAAGGACCAGTCTAAGGAGATAAACCTGACAGATACACAAGGGACACAACAGGGAGCCAGCCAAGGGTTTGACAGAGACCTATTGTTTCTCTAAGCTGTTTTCAAGCTGAGCTTCGGGAAGGGTGGCTGAACCAGCAAATTTAAAACAGTGATGGTGGGTAGATGTGTAACAGATACAGTATCTGTCAAGAATGAATGAGTAAGTGGTGGAGGGGAAATTAGTCATTCTTTAGCTTTATCTATAATGAGGCAAATTGATTTTGTGTGTGGAACAGCTCAAGTTTATCCTGGAAAGTCCTAGTGGCAACAATTTAAAGTGTCACCCCTAATCAGAGAAAACACTGAATTTAAATATGGAAATCATACTTTTTGTTGAGTGATTGTAGGTTAAATCAAATTACTTTAAATGGAGGCTTATCTTCTATCTTCCATAGCCACGTGCAAATTATTTAATGTCCCTATGAGACAAGTCACTGCCAGCCTTCGAGATACTCGCTGAAACTTCTCCCTGCTTCCTGTAGGGGAGCAACAGACACATTCCAGTTTTCTTCAAAGAACGTTGGTGATATTGCAGCTATTTGTGTTGGTCACTGCCCAAAAGATGGAAAGAAGTCATCTGCAAAAGCTGATGTCTTCTGGCACGTCCAAGAGATTATCGTAACGGAGATGGAGCTTTACAACAAGTAAGTGATTTCTCATCTGCAAGGGGCTGCTCCAGGAGGACGTGGGGATGCTGAGCAGCTCCACATCTGTCCTCCTGAAGCATTTCAGACTTAAGCAAGAGCAGAAAGTCTTACCAAATCTTAATCCCTTTCTGAAAGCTAAGAACCAGCTCTTTGGTGTGTCGGGTACACGGGTGGCTTGCCTGTGGGATTCTGAATTTTGCATTTGTATGTGCAGATAAGTTTATGAACAAGTTGATTTGGCGGATCTCGCATCTATGGTAAATTAATGTTTCAACTGGTGGAAAATACTGAGATTGACTGAAAATTAAGGGGTTTGTAGGATGCTCTGCACAGACTGGCCTTTAGGTAAGTCTTGGAAAAAGAGCTCCTAGAAAAATTGTTGAGAATAAGACAAAACCTGAACCTCCTGTTCACACCAGCTGGGATGCGAGATGCTGCTGGGATGGTCCGAAAGGCCCACTGGTTGCAGTCAGCTGCCAAATCAGAAGTGCTCAGCTACTCTGTTTTGAATAGGACTGAAATCAGCCATAGCTGAAAAATGACCAGGTCTGAAGAGGTCTGGGCACATCAGGTCCTACAGGATTTGGTCTGAGCCCTGCTTTTGGAAGGGGTGATGTTCATCACTCGGAGCAGATAGCACAGGGATTATGAAAGAGAGGAAGAAAATTGTCCATTTGTAGAACAAACTCCTCTTCAGAGAAAATATCCACAATGTTAATTGTGGATTTCTTTTCTTCTCCTTGATATTTCCACCGCTGCTAAAGAATTTAAAGAGTTTGTTCCAGCTCAGACGATTGAGTGTTTAAGAAGAAATCCTTGAAGTGTTGTTTTTTTCTTAGAAGCTAAGAGTCTCTCCTAGCAAATTAATTAGCCAGCAGAAGAGCCACAATAATATTTGCTGCATGAAAACTCAGTCGATTACATACCAAAACATGTTCTTTTCTCCTGGTGAGGAGAAAAACCTGGAGCCCTTTAAGTCCAGCTGTGCAATCATCAAATCCATGCACTAAACCCGTTGGAGGCATGTTGAAATAGTATGTTTTGAAGGGGCCAAAGATCTTCTCATCAAGATCCAGTTTTTTCAAAGTTGAATTAAATGAAAGAGGGCAGCCAGGAGATACCAGTAAAGCCCACAGCCTGTTGTTGCTCTGCTCTGTAAATGACCAACTGGAGCAGATCTCACTGTGAGAGCAAGCTCTCATTTAGGTATTCCCGATCCCAAATGTTGAAAAAAAAAAAAATCCCATCTGGTCAATTTAAAAAAAAAAAAAAAAAAAAAACAACTAAATTAAAAGAGTTATGAGATTGCTACAGCAATAGTTTTAAATTATATTGGGATTTTTGCCTTTTAGTAGTAGATTTTAGTCTGCAAAAGGGCTGTATTTAGCCTGCAAATCCCAGGGCTAGAAAGGTCATTTTTTTTTTCCTGCACCACACAAAGATTGGCATGTCTATCACACTCCAGACCATGAGATATTACATAGCCCAGGAAATAAAACTGCAGCACCAGGCAATATCTCCACCCCACTCTCATGCAGTTTTTCTGTCTCTGAGCCTAAAAATTTGCTCCCACCAGAATTTCTCATTTACAAAGCTTCTTTCCAGAAAAAGGAGTGCTTTATTTTAGCTGTGGAAAATGTCAAAAAGTGTTGGAAGTACTGCTGCAATGGCAGTAACCCTTCCTCCAGGTGTTTATTTTACGCACTGCAATCCAGCTACACTCCTTCCAGGAAGACCTGCTGGAGTTTGACGAGGAGGAGGGGAAAAAAACCAACCCATTTGGTAATGATCTCCATCATTGAAAATGAAATCCATCATTAAAAGCAGAATGCTCCAGCCTCTGGCCGGCTGCCAGGTATGCAGCAGTTTATGGATGTGCTCTGCGCTCCTCGCATATTGCCAGAGGCAGCACTGCAGAGCCTGGGGCTTTCAGCATCTGGTACCTATTAGTTCTGTGCTCGACGTGGGTTTTTTGGGGTTTTTTTTTGTTGGTTTTTTTTTGTTTTTGTTTTTTGTTTTTTTTTTTGCCTGCTAAGGATGGGCTGCGTGATCTATATGAGGAAAGGGGGAGACTTAAACCTCCTCCTCCCATTTTTCATACTACTTTTTTCCTAATTCCTAGCCCAACCTTAGCCATACCATCAGTGAAGATAATTCATAGAATCATAGAAACATAGAACAGTTTGGGTTGGAAGGGAACTTAAAGACCATCCAGTTCCACCCCCTGCCATGGGCAGGGACACCTCCCACTAGCCCAGGTTGCTCAAAGCCTCATCCAGCCTGGCCTTGAACCCCTCCAGGAATGGGGCATCCACAGCTTCTCTGGGCAACAGATTATACTCCGCAACACAGGGCTGATTGCTCATCCTGCTTTGGTGGGTCCGGATATGGACATGCCATTGCACAGGCAAAAAGGTCCATGTGCAAGGTGTCTGGGGTGGAGATGTTGGTTTTTCCAGTTGCGGTTGCAATGTTCAACCAATGTTGTCTTCATAGAGAAACTCTAGTGCTAGCACATGTATGGAAAAATACTGAAACAGCATTAATTTTGGGGAATTTAGTAGCACGCCCAGTCCAAAACATGGCCATCCACACTGTTAATGTCTTGCTGATTTTCCTTCGACAGATATTTTTTCAGGTGCAACACGAAAATCCCTCTGCGTTACAAGAGACGCGACTACAAAGTCTTCGAGTGTGCCAAGGTCACTGAGAGCTTTGCCAGCAAAGCCCGGAGCTTGGTGCCAGTCAAATATGAAACCATCGTGGTCACAGGCTTTGAAAAGGGTGCGGGGACCGACGCCAATGTCTTCATCACCATCTTCGGGTTGAACGGAGACTCGGGAAAGCGGGCGCTGAAGCAGAAGTTCAGGAATCTCTTTGAGCGGGGCAAAACCAACAGGTTTTACCTGGAAACGTTGGACATGGGAGAGCTAAAAAAAGTCAGGATTGAGCATGACAACAGCGGTCTGGCCCCGGGTTGGCTGGTGGAACGGGTGGAGATCACCAATTCAGCAACTGGTGTGACCACCATATTTCCCTGTGGGAAGTGGCTGGATGAAAACCGGGGCGATGGGTTAATCTGGAGGGAGCTTTTTCCTAGGTACTGAGGAAGGTAGGGCTGCAGGAGGGTTTTGGTCTCTTCTACACATGCATTTTTCTCATTGTACTGTTTTATATTGCATTTTACTTTTTAAAACACTGCCTTTTGTATTGAGAGATTTTTTAGTAGCAAGACGTACTTCCTGGGTTAATATTTTGTAAAAGTAATACTGCTTTTTTAAAGTGCATATAAAATTGTGAATGAAATAAGTACATTTCTTGCTCATTTGTGTTTAAAAGCCACAACTAGCAGAGCCATAAACTATCCCTTAACAGCTCACATGCCATCTTCTGCTTTTAGTGTTTTGCCCTGCCTGGGCTGGGAAAGCCCGCTGGCCTCCACCACTGATGGGCTCCCCTGGAGATGAGTAAAGAGGATAAGAGAATTGAGCCAATAGATTTAAGACAATTGAGCTTGGAGATCCCAGTTTTTCCCGCTTCTGGCAATTGTGAATGTCCGTACACACAAAGGTAGACCTCCAGAAGGCAGTGGGCACAGCAAGACTTCCTGCGGGGAGATTGGGAAGGACCGGTTCTCCACCCAGCCAGGTGTCAAGGGTTGGGATCGGGGTGATGTTTTCCACCTGTGGGCTTTCCCCTTAAAGCCAGATATAGCTCCCTGGGTGAATTTTATCAGGTCTGCTCAGGGGTGGGATCTACAGTTAACAGCAGCTGGAGCAAAAGACGTACCAGCTAATCAATTCCAATGCAAGGAAGCTGTGCTAACGATATTCAAAGCTGTCTCAGGATGATCTTACCCTATATGGCCTGAATACCAACTCTGTTTCAGAGCAGCTGCCATTCATTTCAATTTTTTTTCTTTTAATAAGGATTTCTGGTTTGGTTTTTTTGTTTTGTGGTGGAGGAGAAATTTCCCAGCTGCCACAATGGCCAGTGCTCCTGTAGATGAGCTCTTCCCAGCTACTCACATCTCTACAGGTACCAACATAAAAAGCTGTTTACAAATCACTACTTCTGGTGCCCCGTCTCCCTCCCCAGGGGCCAATCCTCCAGAGGAGAAAGGTGGGATGTCTGAGCTGCCATGAGATGACAACCTTCTTCCTATGTCCTAAGAGAGCACTTTCCCCCTCCCAGAAGCCGGTTTTAGATAAGAAATTAGTGCAAATAGGGCTCAAATGGGTCAATAGTGGGTCACACCCCCTGAACCCACCCATCCCATCAGTCCCTGGGTTGGGGATGAAGCTGATGCTTCAACTGGTACATGACCTGGATGTGCCTGGCCTTAAGGCAGGACTGTCCCACTGCCTGGTCATGGGCTAGTGATGCTGAGACAGGAGTTGGGGGTGTGTTGTGGGTGCTGTTGATTGCTCCTGGATATTTGAAAGCTGCTGCATCCCACCAAAACCTGGCCAGGGAAGTACTGCATCTTTATTTTCCATCAAAGAGACTTGAGCTTATTCAGGGCTGTCTGTGCCAGCTCGCAAATAATAGCTCAGACTAATTCATTTTAGAAACCTTTATGGTAACCGATGGTTTTGGAGCACAGCAAGTTGCTTAAATGAGCCCAGTAATCAACCTCATCAATGATCAACAGCTTACTGATGGGAATAATAATAGCAGCATTTACTGGCTGTATTCTCCCTCCTTGCTGCAGACTGATGCTACCAAGCTCTGAGCAAGGACCAAGCCAAGGGCTGGGAGCAAAGGAGGAGCAGGATGGACCTCAGGAGGGCTGAAGGTTGGTGTTGAGGTGAACAGGCATGTTGCATCCCTGGGACCCTGCTGGGATGGGGCTTGGGCTCCCTGGACAGCCAAGGGATCCCACAAGCAGAGTCTGGAACATTTGCTTTTGCTGTGTTTGTGCAGCATCATTGCAAAGCAATGGTTCCCCAGTGGGTGTTTTGAAATGAAAAAAAAAAGGATTAGGCTTGTGGTCTTTCTGCTTTCCCTCCCACCCTAGTCTATCAGGGCTATGAAAAAAAAGCTTCCCTGTCAATAGATTTGTCCCATTTTTAGAGAAATGTCTGCTGCAGTGAAATAGGAGGTTTGGGGTTGTTGGTTTTTTTTTTTTTTTCCATTAAAATGCTGTATCCCAGCATTTCCAGTTGGCACTGGTCAGCACCCACTTGGTGTGGAGACACCAGAAATGCTGGTTTTCATAGAAACACAGCATCATAGAATGGTTTGGGTTGGAAAGGACCTTCAAGACCATCAAGTTCCAACCCCCTGCCATGGGCAGGGACACCTCCCACTAGCCCAGGTTGCTCAAAGCCTCATCCAGCCTGGCCTTGAACCCCTCCAGGGATGGGGCATCCACAGCTTCTCTGGGAGCTTGCTGATATGGGGTCAGTAACCTCACCGCCTCCCAGGAAGGCAACCTTGGCAAAGCATGAAAAAAAATCTGGTTTTTTTTCCTCTAAAGACTTCAAAAATGCCCCTTGTTCGTGCCAAACTCAACTCCACCCTGGCTCTGGGGAGTCATTCTGTTGCTACAACAACTAATGCTACAAAAGTAAAAAGGCAAGAGTGGAGTTTTTCCAAGCGCTGGATTTGCGTTAAGCTGCTCAAACCAGCACGTTCTTGCCCAAGTGGAGAATTGAGAAGGAGAAAAGCCAAAATTGTCCCAGCGCTGTGCTTTTTGCAGGGCTCAGGCCATCTCTGCCTGCTGGGGCAGAGAAACCCAAAGCTGTATGTTGAGCAGATGCACAGCTCCTGCTCCCCTTGCCACCCTCTATTTTTTTATTATTATTATTTCCCTCTATTTTTTTTTTTTTCTTTTTTTTTAAGTGGGGGGGGGGGGTGGTTAATGCACATGCCTTCATCTAAAAAACCATTAATGTAGATGAGAAGCAAGAGCAAAGGATGAGGAGGGTGGCACTCAGCAGGAGTCTGCAAAACCAGGCTATCCCATCTTCTTGGGGTCCCAGTCTTTTCTTGGGAGCCTGATGAAGTGCTGTGTTTACAAAAGCTCTTGGGTGCTTCCAGTGAAAACAAGTATAACTAAGGAGACCTTTGCAGTGTTGCATGCTAAAAGGGGCCAGTTGGCTCTTGCTGCAGGACACAGAGAATTATTTGAAAAAAAAATTTCTATGAAATGGTTGTGAAATATTTTTTTATAGCATCTCCTACCACCACCAACCTTATGTGCATGAAGGCAGAATAACTGAGGGCTGTGAAGTATCCATCTTATAATCTCCCCTGCCCCATCGTTATGTGTAGAGGTTGATTCTGATATAGAAAAAAGCTCCATTTTAAAAAAAAATATTAAAAAAATATTCTGTTTACTGATGGCGTTGTATAGCTCTGAGCTACAAACTGCGGGCCAGCTGAGGATTTAGATACTACAAAAACACAAATAAGGGCTAAGCTTCCTGACCCCGGGCAGCTGCTGCGAGAGCAGATGCTTGCTGTGAATAAAGATGTTTCATCGCCACTCATGCTGTTATACCTTAATGGGAAGAGCCCCTCTCCCTCCCCAGCACAAAAACCCCTTACTGCTCCACTGCGCTCGACAGGGCTCTTATCAGATCGCGGCGGCGCGTTTGCTGCAGCAGCTTTGAAGCAAAACCGATTGCTATCTCAAACAACTCTCTTAGCACTGTTATCTTTTTGAAGGACATGAGCAAAACCTCGGCAAGCAACTATTTTTCCCCAGCTGGCCCAACAGGTCATTTTTAAGCTGTTTTCTGAATTTGTAAAAGTTTCCTATAATGGCAAGAGTATTTTTGTATTGCCTGAATATGGGGTATCCTTTATGCAGATTTTGCTGGATGCTGAAGGACCTCCCAGGGGAGGGAAGGGTGAGCGAGCGGCTGTGTGGTGTGAAACTACAACAAGGCATGAGGAGGAACAGCTGAATCGAGAGTAGGTAGGAGGAGAGACTGGCACCATTCATTGCGGGGGAAAAAATAAAAGCGCAAGAGGACCTATGAAGTGGGCTGCATAGGATGCAAAGCTGGGTGTATGGCCCATTGGGTTCTCCAACAGATAACAAAAAGGATTGAAAATACTCTTCAATGTGTCTATATTAGTTTTGAGGTTTTTTTTTTTTTCTCCCAATAAGTTCCTTTTTCACAGAATCAGAGAATGGTTTGGGCTTGGTTTCATTAGTTATTAAACAGGAGACCCACACAGTAAAGTCCAAAGTCACAATCAGTGAAAGAAGAGTAAATTCTGACACCCCCCCCCCAAAAAAAAGAAAAGAAACAAGCAGTAAATAAAGACCAAGCGATCGCCCTGCCAGGTGATTTCTGCGTGGCACAGGTATATAGTTAGCAATGCGGTTTGTTTTATTAGTTATAAATAAAGTACAAAAAAATCCACCAAAAGTGAATCTAAGCATTTACACAGTTTCTAATGTATTTTTGTTTCTTCAATGCGCTATTGCTTTCATATTAATAATAAATATTTTTTTCTAGCTTTCTTCTATAAAATAGTCTATGTAGCAAAATGTTGCACAGCACAACAGAACAGCAGTAGGAGTACAAAAATGTGGGTGATCCTTTCGCTGGCCCAAGTCATTAAAGGAGAAGATTTTTATTTTTTTTCCTCACCACTTGTTTTACTGATCCCTTTTGCAGTGTCTTTGTAGGGGGGAAACAACTGACCCCCTGTCCCTGCATGGCTCAAAACTGCAGCTCCAGGCTACAGGGGAGGAGTGGTACAGATCAACAAGGAAAAAAAGAAAGCACAGACAGTTTTAGAGCTAAGGTAAGGCAAAGTCAACAAAGCAGAGCAGCACCCTGAAGCGAATATTAGGATAAAGCCATTTTGTGCCTTTCTAACCCAAAAAATAATTAGATCTGAAGCCTTTTTTTTGGGAGGGATGGCTACGTGCATCAAACCCCACTCCTGTCCACACGCAGCCAAGCACTTGTGCTGACCAAGAATGGTTATGGCTTAAAGCTTAAAATATTGTTAAGGTGAGTCTAAGTCTCTTGGGATGCTCAGGGACTTGATATTCAGGAGCCTTTTGGGAAAGAGCAGCGGCTTGCAAGGGCAGCATGGCCATGGCTGGGGATGGATGGGGATGGGGATGCTTGGCCACCGCTGTGGGAGTTGGGTGTCAGCTCAGGGCTGGTCCCCTCCCTGGGGACAGGAGCGCTCTGGTGCAGGTCCCCAGCTCTACAGTGGATTAAAAAGGTTAAAGTCAAGGTCTGTCCCCTCAATGGATGGAAACCAACTGGAAGGTCTTCAAGAAGAGGGATTCTGCTCCATGCGTGTTTTACAGCTGGGTTATGGCAAATGCTTGTGGCTAGGCATTACAAAGGGGTCCCGAATCACTCCCACATCCATCCCCATCCCTCTCAGGTCAACCCTTATAAACTTAAATGAATCCCTTGATTTTAATTTTGTTGCCTCCAAAGACAACCTCAGGCAATTGGCTCCTTCATCCTCTCTGCAGCACCCAACTAGGTGGACACACAAGAGGGTGAAAAGAGCCAAACCAAGCACTGATAGGCACCAGAAATCAAAAAGAGCCACCACGCCTGGGCTTCCTTCCTTGGCTTTTGAAGCAGTTTGCAGAATCTTGCACAAAATGCATGCAATGCCCCAAGAACAGCCTTGTAGCAGGGACCAGCTGGGTGTTATTGCAGGATAACGCATGCAACAAGAGCAGCAGCATTGCCACTGGTATTGGGGACAGGGCAGTAGCGAGAATCGACAGAAATATTTTGGTTTTACAGAGCGCTGTTAATCGCCTTCAATGCGCAAGGACGTAAGTGAAAGGATCACTGGAGTTTTGATTATGAGTGCAAATAATATTCATATACATGTGCTAAACACAGTCACTATATTGCAGTTTTTCCACTATGTCACAGCATACAGAATCAAAGGTTTTGCATTTTTATGGAATGTATCCAAGGTAACAGCACCACAGTAATACAGTTTGTAATCACACACCCTGATTTTTTTCTCTTTTTTTTTTTTTTTGACAAGATAAGCATTACCCCCCACGTCCCATGTTTAATTTTTTTGTGTTTTTAAAGTACCGATGCATGCAAAGCATTCCATTCCCAGAAACAATGCAAAAAATGAGGTAATAGGAGTAATAAAAAAAAATTAGTATTAATTTCTAAATAAATAAATTATAATTAAAAATGCAAAAAACAACTATAAAAATAATTAAATAAGAACCCACAATATCTACAAGTTAGTCATAAATTATGATTGTTAAATATAAGGCATTTAAACTCACAAAACCCTGTAAACTATCAATGTTTTGTTCCTAGAGATTTTTCTTTTTGTTGTTCATTTCGGTTTGTTTTTTAGACTCACCTTATTAACGCAACCTACTCTTACAAATTACTTAAAACTCAAAGGAACCTGACACACCGATTGCAACTCCAGACGCTGTAAATTCGCACACACCTCGGCATCAGTCACTCACACTTTGAGACCACGGGAGTTTGGTGCTTTTCTTCACCAAGATTTTTTCTTTTTGTATTTTTTTTTTAAAAAACTGTGCTTGTTCATTAGGCAAATAGTAATACTTTCGCATAGGCTTTAAGAAAACACACGGCTTGGAAGCGCTCCTCCTTCCCTCCCCACCCAGCCAGAGTCCCTATCCTCCCCTTGCTTCACCCCCAGCTCACGCCTGGACGGACCAGACCAGCTTACAGTGTAGTTTACCATATTATTAGTAATATTAGTATTATTTTTAATTCTGCTTCAATCTGCTGTTGCTGGAGCAAGCCCCATAAGTATCGATGGACAACTCCTTGACCCAAGCAGTCCATCACCCTTCAGTCAGAGCTGGGACTGCTGCATCTCCCAAGAAACCATCACATGTATCGTAGAATATGATGTTGTGGGGTGTGTTGGGTGGCACATTTATCATAGAATTATCAAATAGTTTGGGTTGGAAAGGACCTTTAAATGTCATCTAGCCCAACACCCCTGCCATGAGCAGGGACATCTTCCACTAGACAAGGTTGCTCAAAGCCCCGTCCAACCTGACCTTGAACACCTCCAGGGATGAGGCATCCACCACCTCTCTGGATAACCTGGGCCAATGTTTTACCACCCTCATTATAAACAATTTCTTCCTTATATCATCCTTATATGTCACCATGTGTCCCCCTCCACTCCATCCTACCTGCATGGGCACAGCAAGAGAGAGGCTCCTGCATCCTCACGCCCCCCGTGGGGTTCCCCTCTTTCTCTACCCTCTTTAGTTGGGAGAAAAAAAAAAAAAAAAAAAAACAACCTCTGGGGTGCCTCTAAGGTCAGTGTTTTCCAATTCCAGCTCACAGGAATCCCATGATCTCTCAGACAGTAATTCATGATTGTTCTTGGAGACCACCACTTGCCTCCAGCGAAACAGATGCTTAGGGGAACTAGAAATAATCCCTGCCACATCAGCATTTTTGATATATAATATTCCCAATTCTCCTTGCTCCTCTGCATCTTTCTTTTACTCCCTTAGCATGGGGAAAAAAAAAAAAAAAAAAAAAAAAAAGAGTATTGAAAATAAAAAGATTTTTTAAAAAGATTAAAGAACAGGGTTTTGGTTGTGAATGCCGGTTCTCTGGAGGGTTTTCAGCTGAGGTCTTTATTTCAGGGGGACCTTGGATCTCAACAGCTCACTCTTTGGTAGACTACCTCCTAACTCTGCTTTGAGTATGAACGCAACTCAGTTTCATTTTAATAACCACCCCATTCTCCGTATGGATATGGACTGAAACACGCATACAAACACACTCGGGTGCAGGTGCACATGCTTTGAGGCAGCGACACAACCCAGCCCCTCCAAAAAGCAGCAAATCCCCCTTCCAACCTGCCTTCCCCTCCTGCGCCAAAATGCTCATGGCCTCAGCAGTGCCTTGTGAACCTCGAGTTGTCTCCTCTCCTGTTATCAGAAATATTTTTGCATGGGAGAGGAGTTGGCAGCATACATCTCTCAGCACCCCTCCGGTGTTATCATAGCATCAATCAGAGAATCACAGAACGGTTTGGGTTGGAAGTGACCTCAAAGACCATCAAGTTCCAACCCCCTGCCATGGGCAGGGACACCTCCCACTAGCCCAGGTTGCTCAAAGCCTCATCCAACCTATTTTATTATACGCCTATGGTTATTATACCCCAAAGCACAGCTATAGGCATTGACTCCAATAACCATAATTTTGGACCAGTTCTGAAGCCAACCAGCCTCACAGCTCACAGGAGAAAGCATCATGGACAATGACAACCAGGAAGACAGCCCTTCCTTGGATTTCAATATTGCCAAGCTACTTTGTGAAGATACAGAAAAACAAAGAAACAGCATCTACTCCAATATTGTGCCCGTACAGAAAGCATCCAGCACCAGCAGATAAGCAGGAACAAAGCTTCTCCCTATTGCTTCATTCATTTCATTCCCTTTTTTTTAAACTTTTTTTTTTTAAGCTTCTCTAAATTTACAACACACTGTAAACGCAAGGAAAGGAAGCACACATGGCTGAGGCAAAGAGCGCAACCCTTCTGACTGTAAACAGGATTTTGCTTTTTCGCCTCTTCCCACCCCAAAAAAAGATGGGAAAGCTTGACCTCTTTATTCCCCATCCCCCCTGTGATGCATTAATCAGGCACCAAAATAAGGAATCCATGAAAAAATATTTGGTGCAAATTAGGTAACAGCAACATGTCCACCACGAGATGAGTAGGGCATCAAACACAACAGTTCTTAAGCTAACATGCTCCAGCTGCCATCCATAGAAATAGCTAAAGGACCCCTAAACATGGTTCTATGTATTCGAGAGGTATATATACAATCCCCGTGAAATGCAGGATTGACAACAGGCCAGACTCTACCACAAGCTCCTTCATGTTCAACACTAATATCTTCTGCAGCACAGGGGGGTTTTTTTTCATCTCCCTTTTACCGGGCCCATATCCTGCATATGTGCAATATCTCCTACCACTAGATATTGTACCGCCACCTCTTCCTCCTCCTCCTCTTCCTCACTAATGTGCCTGCAGACTTTTCCTCTCAATCAAATGGCTCAGAAGGCAAAAAAATTTTGCTGCAAGGGTTTTATGGCCATACGACCTGGTAAGGAAAAATGGTGTGTCCAGCCAGTCCTTTCAGCTATCCGAGCCAAGCTGTGTTTCAATGTCCACCCTGCAGATCGGGCACTTCTTGCTGGTGGCCAGCCACTGGTCCACGCACACTTGGTGGAAGAGATGCATACAGGGCAACCTCCTAAAAAAGAGAGAAGTACCACCCCGTTAGGATGGAGAAGGTCCAGGGGATTGAGAAGAGCCAGAAAGCAGCAGTTGAGGCCACTTCAAACATGGGGAAGCACCGATGTAGTTACACCAGTGCTACCTAGGTCCTACAGCCTCCCCCAACCACGCCAGCTCATGTAGGGCAGTAGGTCAGAGATGGTGTCCCTCTTGGCTAAAAGCCTTTTAGCAAACCCCACACCTTCCTGAGCTGAGTTGTTCCAGTTATTAATTACCCTGGCTCCTGCTTTCTAACCTTTCAGGAGTATCAGGTTATACCCCAAAGCATCTTGGTTCTTCACCATGCTGACTTGTGAGCAGTCTGGTGGGTCCCCACTGCTCCTGCATGGGTACCTGGTGTTCCCCAGGGAACACAGTTGCTTTTCATCTACATCCCCTTGGTCATCTCTTCAGTCAACCTCACAAGCTGGATGGACCCTGAGTCAAGCTCAGATGTTGATGTCCCCAGGCTCCAGAGAGCTGGGACCCATCTTTCAGTGACACTTGCCACCTGGCCCATGGCACAGCCTTGAAGCAGGTAATCCAACCCCAGGAGATACTATAAAAACTTGGCCCTTCTGCTGCTGCAGAGCTCTTCCTACCTACACCCCCCTACCAACATCCATCTACACGGCATTTAGCTTCCCAGGCTCTGCAACAGCCCAAGTGAGTTTGTCAGGACAAGAACAGGGGTAACTGCACCAGTGCGTGGTGGCATTAATCCAAATAAACACAACTCAGGTGGCATCAAGAGGCAGAGGAGTAGATGGAAGAACGATCATACCTGACGTCTTCTCCATCTTCAAGCATGGACAGACAGATTGTGCATTTCTCATCGGTGTCTGACTCCTCTCCATCCTCTTGCTCCGCTTTGCCCTCCTGCGGTCTTCTCTGCAGCAAGGTTAAAGACATCATTGGGTTAGAACTTGACTTTCTAATGCTCTCCCAAGCCTGGGCAGTTGCAGGAAGGCAAATAATAAGAGCTTTGTCTATCAACCAATTCCTCCAATTTGGGGAAACCAGCGTAGCCGAAACAGCCAGTGAGGGGGAGATGCCACCAACATGCTGCTGGTCGGCACATCTCCGCCTGGGGCTGGTGTCAGTGGGGCTGCTGGTAGTGCCCCAAGGACCTAACACAGCCCCCCGCCCCCTCCTCCATCCTCCTCGCAGTGGGGATGGCCCCACAGTTGCCTTTGATGGAGACTTCTCCTGAAGACCCCAAAGCATGCGAAGCCACCACTGCCAGGAAGGGCAACCACTGTGCCCCATGCCAGCTTGACTACTGGTCCAGCCCCACAAGCAGTGCTTAACCTGTTAGCTCTCCCCTTTCCTCTTCCCCCCACACATCCATTCCTAGTCGTATCGTTTTTCTGGATCCACTGGAGATGTGGTCAGAGACAAGCGCAGCAGGAGTTGACTCACTTCCAACTTGGGCAACACAACATCCCTACTTGTCACTGCCCAGCAGGGAACTACCAACATGTGAAATTACTACACAAACAAGCACTTTTCACATTTTCTATTTAGCACGACCCAAAAACACGGCACCCATTTCCTTGTGGGTGGGAGATCAGCTCCAACAGAGACGCCTCTTGCAAAACAAGGGGAGGACAAGCTCCCCCATGCCACGGAGCCAGCGCTCTCACAGCAGGGCGCACGGGCAGCGCCGCTTGCATGCAGAATGGGGTGGGTTTGCATGCACAAAAGCCCCCTTGGTGTGTGCACTTTCTTACCAGGTGCGGACAGGGGGGAAATTGCACCCCCTGGGTGGGAGAAGGTTGAGACCCTTTTGAAAATTTAGCCCGGATCTTCCTAGCCTAGAAGTGAGAAACAGCCAGCTGAGCTACACCACTGCTTCAGCCCAGGTGCCCCCACAAGATATTGTTAAAGCACCAATTCTGGATTTTACATTCCTCCCCCATTTCAGGGAATACTTCCATTGAGAGCACCAGTTTGACAGCCCTAAGGATTGCAACCCACCAAAGTTCTTCCTTCTGTCCGCTCCCTGCCCACAACCCTTGGACAACTGTGAGGGGCTGGCAGCTTTGCCATGATTTTGGAGCACTCACCTTCTTGTACTTGTGGGGGAAGGTGAACCTTTCGATGGTGTTCTGGACGGCTCCCCGGCTCACGCTGCCCAGTCTGTCTTCCAGCTGCAGCAGCTCCTGTGGCACAGGAATAACAGCAAAGTGCCATCAACGTTGCTCCTGGGGCATGAGGTCCCAACATCCCACCCTACCTGCTGGGGACCAAAGCTCCCTCCTGCCCTTTCCTGGGTGCGAATGTCCATCAAACCCAAATCAGTCATTCTTTAATGAGGGATCTGAGCCCTGGCTCTTGGACCAATAACTAAGGGTTCAAAGCAGTGAGAACAGAGCTGAACATCCAATATTTCCAGAATCAGGGTGGAATTTGAGCTCCGTTTGACAGGCTGCAAAACAAAACTCCATACAACCGAAGCACTTTGTTCCTAGACATGAAGGGAGGCAGAGTCAACCCAAGCCAGACCCAGGCACCCCAGAGTAAACCACCTTTCACCAAGCCCACTCAACCCCTTCACCTCCCAGTTATTACTAAAATTGCTGCAAGACTCCATGCAACTGCCACGCCACAAAAGAGTCTTACAAGTTTATGCCAGAGCTTGCATAGATTGCCAGCACTTGAAAATGTAATAATAATTCTAGTCCCCAAGGTACGTACTTCATAGCTCTCCCGTACAGCGGACGTGTGCCTGCTTGGGTTCAGTCCCTGAAGAGCAAGTAGCTGAAGCTGAGGATAAGGGTAATTTCTGATTTCATGAACAACCTGCAAGAAGTGAGGGAGAAAAATAAAGCCACTTGTACTCGCACATAGAAATCCCTTGTGCACCCTGATTTAAATCTAGTGCTTTAAAAATTCAAAGTGAAAGAGCAGACTGACACCTTCCCCGAAGGAAGCCTCTCAATAACTAAAAAATGAGATTTTATTAAATAGATCTCCTATAAACAATAAGCAAGAACATGCATTTCTCCTGAATAAACTGTTATAACATTTTCTGTTTCATCTATACCATTGCAGTTCCAAACTCTCAACATGGATTAGCTTAAAAAGAGATTTTATTCTATTTAGTTTTAAATTAGTGGATTTCTCTTCATCCAAGCTTTGATTTTTTAAGCCTTGCTGTAGCACACAGGTGTCAGGGTCTGACTATGGGAACGAGGAAAAAATACAATGATGTGATGAGGAGTGGTCCTTGGGGCTGAGCCCAGGGAAGGGAGTTACCTACTGCTGATCCTTCTGCATACAAAAAGTCCTGGGAGCCCACAATTTGTTCCAGTATTAATAATATTATTAATAACTGCTGAGTCTCTCACATCCTCCCCAGGTTTTGCAGACCAGCTTGTGAGCGTGGTGCTGCGTGCGATGGACCGAATCTTTCCAGAGCAGCTGAGCTTTTCTTTCCTTTCTCTAAGCCAGAGTGCAATGATGCAACATTATCCTTTCAGATGCTCCCTCCCACGGCCAGAGATAGGTGGGATTCGCAGAAAGACAGGTGATAGAAAGATAACAGCCTTTATTTTGACTGCCTTCTGGCAGACAATGCATAAAACATTTCTTGGTGAAAAGTGTTTCACTTACCATCTGTGTCGAGGATGTGCTTCTGGGGAAATGGTGCATCCGAGGCGTAGCCAAATAATGCTGATAGGGCTGAGGGACCGGCCGGACCTGGAACTGGGTGTGAGTCAGTCCTGCATCGACGCTGAGGTCCCTGTGGGCACGAGGATGAAGATACGGCTTTGACTGGATGGTTTTATTGCATGGCTTACAGGTCAGATCATACTCAAAGGGCAACCCCCACTGGTGGGGCTGCTGAGGGTTCCTCAACCCTGGGGTGATGCTACTGCTTGGCAGGGAGTTTCCTCCAATTACAGAAACACAGCTAATTACTCAGTGACACACTGATGAACCATCCTGGGTGGCTGTTAGGAGCCTGTTAGGCACTGTCCAAGGGCTTTTTCATGTGATGTGATGATGACCTCCTCTCCTTGGAGGTGTCCCAGACTGGGTCATGGTAGACTTGGGGAGACAAGGGAGACTGCACCTCGCCTGAACCCAGCTTCAGGGAACTCCAGAACTGCTGTTTGTACTGAAAATATAAAGGTTTTAAGAAATTACTGGAGGAGATTGCTGCAGGAAAGGATGTCATATAACCAGTGGGCCAATGCCAATGAAGCACCCCATTGGGACACCCCCAATGGTCCCACTTTCTCATCACACATCCTTGCCTGGGCAAGCAGAGTTGGGGCTTAGCTTTGTAGGTTTGGGCACTTTTTTCCTCTAGAAAAATAACCCAGATCAGTCCCAGGACTTGGCATGACCAAGACCCCAGCAAAGGGGGCTTGCAGAAGAGATGGGGAGACAAATTATTAGGGAGTGTAGAGATAGGATGAGGGTTAATGGTTTTAAGCTGAAAGAGAGTAGATTTAGATGAGATACTAGGAAGAAATTTTTTCCTGTGAGGGGGGTGAGGCAGTGGCCCAGGTTGCCCAGAGAAGCTGTGGATGCCCCATCCCTGGAGGTGTTCAAGGCCAGGCTGGATGAGGCTTTGAGCAACCTGGGCTAGTGGGAGGTGTCCCTGCCCATGGCAGGGGGGTGGAACTCGATGATCTTTCAGGTCCCTTCCAACCCAAACCATTCTGTGATTCCATTATTCTATGAAAAGTCGCAGCTCTGCCCAATCTAGCACGCAGAGACAAGCTGCAACCCCATCCCCACACCATGTGGAGGGGACGGGAGGAGACCTAACAGCATCTCCACTTATAATCCAATTAGCTGATCCTTCATCTCTCCAGCCAGGGAGTCTCTCAGCAAACAAGTGCTTTGAACGTCATTCACTTTATCATAACTACAAACGTTGATGCTCTAATAACCGTTGTCTTCACATTTGCCAAAGCAAAGCTAATTACAGCATGGGTTTCCCATTTGAGCCTTGAACTTCACTTCCCCTGCGCGGAGGACAGCGGCAGTGAGTGCCATGGCTTGTTAGGAGCAACCCAGACGTGTCCTCCAGCAGCTGTGAAGCTGTGTTCGCCCAAGAGCAGATAACAGATATGAGAAGACAGCAAATGTGGAAATCCTTCACCCAGAACAGCCTGTGCACCAGGCAGCATCTCCAGTGCTTTGGTGTTCCCCAGTAAGTCTCCCTGTAGCAAGCTGATGCAAAGAAAGGGACTATTTTTGCTGGCCCTGTGCTAGCCACATCCTAGACAGACCATAAAACATGGCAAGCAACTGGCAGCAACACAACCAGTGTGAGAGTCTGCAGGACTGAGCATTTCCAGTTCCCATGACACAATTTTGGAGATTTATCCAGTTGCTGAAGACTGTTCCCAGGTAGATGGAAGACTCAGCTGGAAATCAGGAGGCTTTTGATCCATTCCCAGCCCTGTCACTGGCCTGATGCACGACCTTGACCACTTCCTCTCTGCCTTCCCATATATATTCCCTGTCTACAAAATAGACGCGATAATCCACAGAGTGCTGTGAGATCAAGGGCTGAAGAAATCTCTCAAAGATGAACAGCCATTATTAACTTGCAGAAGTAATTCCAAAACAGCGTTGATGAACTGTTTGTGCACGGGTGCATCCAGATCCTTAAAATCAGGTATTGAGGCTCCTGGAGCGATGCTGTTAATCTAGAGAGGGGCCCAAAGCAGAATATTGCATAGAGTGGTGTTTTCTCAGGGTTTGCGGGTGAATAAGTAGAGAACATTAGCTGAAGAAAATCAAAACCAACCATCACCTAGCCCATGATACATGAACAACTGTACAGCATCTTGACACTCGGATGTGAGGTTCAAGACCTATGATGCCTATGGCACCCAGGCTGCCAACAGCCAAAAAAATCATAGAATCAGAGAATCACAGAATGGTTTGGGGTGGAAGGGACCTGAAAGACCATCGAGTTCCAACCCTGTGCCATGGGCAGGGACACCTCCCACTAGCCCAGGTTGCTCAAAGCCTCATCCAGCCTGACCTTGAACCCCTCCAGGGATGGGGCATCCACAGCTTCTCTGGGCAACCTGTTCCAGTGAAAAATAAAATATAGGGACCCATATAACCAGTTGGACAATCGCCACTAAATGCAGATAGAGAAGATGATTTAAGGAACCAAAGGAGAGTTTATTTCTTCTTCACTAGAAGATTTTAATCGAGGTGGGACTGTCCAAGATGATTGATCACCTTCAGATCTTCCTTCTATGCCCATTTCCCGTGACAGTGCCTACCACCTACCCCCTCTGAGTGAGCTCCACGGATGCTCATGCGGTAGTAACGCATTAGAGGGAAGTTTTTATATCTGTCACTGGGCAAAACCATACATGTGCCCCAAGGGAAAGTGAGTCACCCAAACATATGTACACAGTATGATTCCTGTCATCCCTGCTCCTTAGGTTTTATAAGGCTATGGAGCAACATGGAGGGGGGGACAGGAGGGAGGAGGAAGGGAACAAAAAAGCGATGTTTTATCAGATCCTTCTAATTATTATAATTAAACACTCTGCGCCAAAAGAAAGGCAGAAAAGAATGGCTCTATCCACATGGTACATGAACTGCTTTGCAAACTGATCTGAACAATGTCGTCCGAGCCAAACTCAGCTCACGGTGGTGCCAGTAATGAGAACACCTGAGAAGAAAATGGCAGAAGGATCTGGCCATGTTTTAGGTTGTATGTTATTACCCCAGAGGGGGACAAAAACCCCCCCCATGTTAAAAGGACTCTGTTTGCAGAGCAAAGAGCTCAGATGTTAGGAAATGCCATAATTAAGATTTCCTGTGACGTTTTGGTCCCTTTGTGCGTATACATTGTGATTGTCTCTAATTACATGTTCATATGTTATTTTTTCCATTCAGTGCATGGAACAGACTTTGCTCAGCTAACCAGAAGCTACTCAGAAGAATGTTTTTATTTTCTTATTCTTCCAGGTAGGGCCGTATACCTTACTAACTGTGCAAGATCTCAGAACCCGCTCTGAAAATGAAACGATCAATTCCCTGCTCAGCTTTGCCAAGGTATCGAACACTACAATGGGAGAACAATTAACAGCTATTAATGCATTCACACCCCCCTGCAGGGCAGGGCAGCTCCCTAATTTAAACCACAGGAAAAAGTCATGGACACTGTTTTTTGAGTGCCTGGTGGACAGCAGAAGATCTAGTTCAGACAGAGAAGTTGGTCTATAGGAAAAAAGACCCTGGCTGTGTCCTGCATCAGGAAAAAATCCTGGAGGAAGATTCACGCTTGGCTGCACCCTGCATCCATAGATAGTTATGGGTGATATCCATGCCTCGACATTGTCATAGACGTGCATAAAGGCTTTAGCACGTGCTCATGGCCCTCCCAGAGATGAGCTTTCCCATCGCACGCTCCCCACATTGTATCTGTTGAGCTGCACCATTAGTTTTCATGAAAACACTGGTCCATGATGACATCCATAGAATCACAGAATCACAGAATCACAGAATGGTTTGAGTTGGAAGGGATCTTAAAGATCATGGAGTTCCACCCCCCTGCCATGGGCAGGGACACCTCCCACTAGCCCAGGTTGCCCAAAGCCTCATCCAGCCTGGCCTTGAACCCCTCCAGGGATGGGGCATCCACAGCTTCTCTGGGCAACCTTCACCGACCTTTGCAGCCTCCCCAGGATGTTCTAAGTCCCTCATTCAATGCACTCGTGAAATGTGGAAGACTTACCAGTCCGTGCCTTCGGCTAAATACCTGGGCTGGGGCCCCAGGGGTTGTGGAGTTTGCAATTGGTGGCTGAAGTCAAAGCTGGGGTGTAGGCGGTGAGGCTGGATGGACACGCGCTCTTGAGCCCGCCTGCATAGAGGAGACCAGCAGTTAGCCATACTGGGAGCACTGGTACATAGAGCTCCTGCTCCCAGCCCATGCCAATAAACCAGGAGAAATCCCAAACTGCTGGTCTTATGAATACACGTCCAAGAGGAAAAAGTCCAGGCAGGTGTCAAGGATGATGGGAAGAGGAACCCAGAGATATGGCATTTATTTGTGGTCACCATGGACACAGTGCAGACCTCCACTCTCACCCCCTGCGTAATCCACATACACTCAGATTACAAGGGATGCTATTCGGTGGCAACATGGAGAGAAAACCAAAACAAAGCAAAAACCCCCACTTATTCCTTGGAAGTTTTGTGCCATTTGCACCGTTTTATTTTTCTGCACTGTCAGTTGAAAAAGAACATACAAGATAAAACATGTCCCTGGTTCTGCCGTTATCCATCATCATAAAGGAGCTGCAGGTTGTCTCATCTCCCCATGAAGTCCATAAGCTCCTGGGGAGCCTCATTCATAACACGATTACCGAGGAGTAACTGAAAGCAGAATTTACTCTCTCTGGCCTTTGCCAGCATTTCTCTGGATGATGGACAGGCCAGGCTGGGATCCAGCTCCTTCTCCCCCCAGCTCTGCTCCTTTTGCTGGCGGGGAAAGGAAAGGGTAGAAAATATAGCAAGGTTTTCCTAGGCATTTGAGTCTCTCCTTGTGATTATTGCCCATTTGAACTACTCAGGGGATGAGCATGTGCTGCTTGATCAGTGTCCATGCTTGGAGAGAGACAAGGTGGATGCACAAGCAGGATTTGCACTGCAAACTCATACCCCTTGCACCCTGCCAACTAGTGGAGCCATCGCAAAATAAATCTATGGCAAAACACTACAGCAAATGGAGCAGAGAACTGCTAAATAAAGATTTTTTTAATGTAGCCACAGCTCAGAGGTTTCACTTTTGAAGGCACGACCTGGAATCCCATTAGTGGGACCCCATGCCCCACACCTGTAGGGTTTCTGACACCCTCCTCCCATGCATCTGTGCTCTCAGAAACAGGCTGTGGGATGGGGCAAGGGGTTCCTGCCCTTTTCCACACCACAACCCACTTGCAAAGGGAACACTGACAGCATTGACCAAAAAAGCTTCTGTGTGGATTTGTGCTCCATGCTTTTATCTGAATTAAGCTTATGACTAAGAGATAAACACTTGTATCATCGGTCCCTCAGCCTCGCACGTATTTGCTACCCAATTATTAACCGATCATTACATCCACCTAAAAATCCAGCTTATGCAAAACAAAACGAGGATGAGAAGAACACACAATTTTCAGCCAGAAAGGGTATGGAAAAGAAAGTGTTTTCTCCCTGTAACATTCTTTCCAAATGAAGCATTATTGCAAAGACTCATCCTTCGATTCTTGATCCATGGGTACAACCCACAAATAGCTTCCATATGTTTCCAAATAAAGCGCTCCTCTCCTATGTGCTATCTAAATCCCTCTTTCAAGAAACACAATCAGGACAAGGCCAGGCATCCATTTCCACCTCTGCTGAGTTACAGTAGCTCTCTTTGCAGTCGTCAGCCCGTCTGCATTCAGGCAGCTTTCCATGGTTGAATGTGCTCCTTGTAGACCTGGGAAGCCTACCTAGACCCAGACAAGCAAGTTCTTAATCTGCAAAACCTAATGGAAAGGGTGAACACAACTCTTACATGATTTTGAAACAGCAGCTACAAGGAGGTAGCTTGGGCATTTTCTCTCTCTGCCACGCAGGACAGGTTCATTGCAACACTAAGGCGTTACTGCCATTGTTCTCCTCCAAGGGACAACAATAGGTGACCTTGGGACATTCTATGTGAGCACGATATGGATCGCCATGGGAAAGGTAACCTGCAGGTGCCACCTGCCCTGCAGCCTCCCTGCTGGTGGATGCGTTTTGGAGGTACATGGGTGAATGTGTGAAGAAAAGCCAGCACTACCAGCATGTGCTGCCAGGGTTCTGCAGAAGACACTCTGCTGATGTGAGGCTGATGTAGCTTCTCAGCATCCTTCAGGAGGACTGTTGTGGTTTTACGCCATAACAGCCACTCGCTCAACCTCCCCTCTCCTGGGGACGGGGCAGATAATTAAAGGGGTAAAAGGAAAAGAGACTCCTGGGTTGAGATAAGAACAATTTAAGAACTAAACTGCAATCATATTGGAAATAATAATAATGGTGACAATAATAGCAATATATACAAACAAATGAGTGACACACAGGGACACTGCTCACCACCCCATGACCAAGGCTCAGCCCGTTCCCAGCTAATGATCCTGGAGCAGGGAAAGACCCAAAACCACAATCCCAGAACGGAGATAAGAGCCCAAGTGTCCAAGAGACCGAGACGACCCTGAGAGGGGTGACCCAGAGGGAGACAACCCGGAGCAGGAGAGAGCCCTTCCGGACAGAGCCTCACCTCTCTCCTGGCCATGCCGGGCATGGGATGGAACAGACCATTGGCCATTTTTTTTTATTCCTGGGCCTGGGGCTGTGCTCCCTCCCACCCCCTCCTGCCCCTGCAGACACGGCCCCAGCAGAGAAGCTGGAAAGTCCTTGACTGTCCTGGCAGCAGCTCTGCCCATCAGTGTGTGATCAGCTTCTCCTCGGCACAAACCCAAACACAGCCTCACACCAGCTGCTGGGAAGAAACTTAACTCTGTCCCAGATGAAACCAGGACCCTCTTACCTGGGATGGGGCATGAGCCGGCGGTGCTGTGCCTCGAGGAGCTGCTGCTGGAGGAGGTATTGCTGGTGAAGCGCCTGAGGTAGGAAGGAAGGTCCGGCCACATCCTGGAAGGGCAGGGCTGGCACCGGTGCCAGGGGCTGGTGCAGGGGGCCGCTGTGCTGGTGCGCGGGGGCCATGTGGGGGGTCAACCCTGGCTGGGGCTGCACGGCGTGAGGCAGGGTGAAGTCGGCGGAGAGCTGAGGTTGGGGAGCCAGGTGGAAATGCCGGCAGGAGGTAGCATGGGGATGCTGAGACCTTTGAAAAGGAGCACCTGGAAGAGAAGAGCATGGCCGTCATGGGGGCCAGCGGTGGCTGGGGCACCCCAGGCTGGTGGCTGCCAATCCAGGGCAAGAATTGAGCAAACAGCACTTTCTCTCCTCTGCCAAAAGGGCTAAAAAAGAGTCAACAGGTCAGTTAACATTGGTTACATGGAAAAATGTTGGGTTTTGACTAATAGTTTTTCCCCTCCAAAAAAACATTGGAACCAAAGCATGAATTTGGGTTCAAAGTGAGGTTTTGGCTCCAAATTGAAGTGTATACTGATGGAAACTGCCTTAGTTTGTTTCCAGTTGCCTGTCTTGAAGAGAAAAGGAGCAAAAACTTTAATAGGACCTGTAATGACAGAACAAAGAGTAATGATTTTAAACTTAAAGAGTGGAGATTCAGACTAGATAGAAGGAAGAAGTTATTTACAATGAGGGTGGTGAGGCAGTGGCACAGGTTGCCCAGAGAGGTGGTAGATGCCCCATCCCTGGAAACATTCAAGGTCAGGTTGAACGAAGCTCTGGGCAACCTGGTCTGAGTGAAGATGTCCCTGTCCATGGCAGGGGGGTTGGCCTAGATGACCTTTAAAGGTCCCTTCCAACCCAAACCATTCTGTGATTCTGTGAAAAAGCCTCAACATTTTAGAACACAGGGAGGGGCGGGGGGGAACCCTGTTTTCCAAAATGTGTTTTCATGGGTTATGATCTCACCAAAGTTTTAAAAGCTTGATGACTTTTCCTGTGATTCAAGGTGTTTCTTTGCCTGTTTAAAAATGTCTCATAGGCAAGAAAACAATCTTTTCCCTAAGAAACTGTCCCTCGCTGACTGCAGGACGTGAACAAGACACCTTCCACCTCTGAAAGCCAGGATTAAGATTGTGGGTCTTTCCTGAGACCCTGAATAGCCCATCCTTGCTGTGGGAAACACACCGGGACTGCTGTGAGACCAGCCACAAAGCCGATGGGAATGAGGAAGAAATGAGGTGTGAAAGATATCCATAGGGGAGGCTTTTTGCAAAACATCTGTCACGGGCTTGCACTTCCCTCAAGATCCTTGCTTGGATGGGCCCTCGGCCCAAACCGGCACATTAATTCCTACCTTCCTGGAGCATTTACAGGCATCACGGCAAAACTTTTGGCTCTTAAACTAGGGATTTGAGGCAGCTCAGAGGTGAAGGTTGAGACTCAAGTGAGGCTATTAGAGATGCCTCTTAGCTGAGGATCAGCCCCAGGATAGGACACCTACCCTTTTACGCATCTCTTCTTCCTAAAAACTACTTTTTTTTTTTTTTTTTAAATCCAGGAACAACAGCACCAAGAGACACTGATTGTTATCCCAAGAGACAAGCCAGATGTGCCTTTGATGCTTTCTTCACCCAGATCCGTTCTGCTCACATCTCCTTTCTGGAAGCCAGCCCATCCCAGCATCTCAGGGAGCCCTGAGCGCTCTTTGTTCACGTCCGTATGGAAATGGGAGATGCACAAAGAATGTCAGATGCCAGCAAGAGAAACAGTGGGAGAGAACCTAACAGAAACTAATGGTTTGCAAAACTCTGCATAATTACACACAGCATCTCTTAAATACAAGCTAATCCTCTGTAGTGTCCCTCTGAGAGAGGGAGCAGGTCACAAATACCTGTGCCACCAGCAGCAGAACTTCTTCAGGTGATAATTTCTCATGCTATCAGATAACAGCATGATTCAGCTACCCTATTAATTAAAACCAGAGGAGGTGGGATCAGTCCCACTGTTCCTCAACAAGGGAGATGCAAGCCCAGACCCACAAGCCATCCATGTACCCCTGGTACCACAGGTTATATTTGCTGCCATTGGCTTGGCCCCAACTCACCGTACAGCACCAAGATGTAAAGGGTGAGTAATGAAATGGGGGTCCTGAGCTGCCCGGGCTCATTGCTAAAGCTGAACGACACTGTGGTCATGGGGAGATGCCTCCTAACTGCTGTGTTTGCTAGAGCAACTCATGGTGAATCGCTCAACCTCCAATGGCCATGGGTCCTCCCAATGGAGAACAGCTACAGCAAGTCATGAGTGAGCCGGTTTACACTTCCAGGTCTTCACAGCGCCTGAAGACAAGGTTCTAGAGCAGGTTGAAGCGCTAATCCCTCTGCACAGCCAAACACACCAGCCTGTGCCACCAAGCAGTGGTTTAGTCGTATTTCAGACAAAACTCTTAGGAGGACACAAGACAATGAGGTTTAGTGATGTTCCGTCACATTTACTGGGACTAATTTTGTAGCATGTAAGTAAAGCAGAAAAAAACAGTCTCCCATCCTCTGCACCTCTCTCGTCTCTTGATGCCTGGTGCAACCCTAGCCAGGGATTTCCAGACTTTTGCTGGAGCTTGGGAGGCTTTAGTCTGATTCAGCAAAACATCTGCAAGACCTTTGATGCCAGAGCCATGATGAACTAGAGATCACACGGTGGACACATCATCTTGTCCCAGCTTTTGACTTGACTTTTTCCTCCCACACCAGGGTAGTCCTTGCAAGGAACTTGGTCATACAGTTCCCTGAAGTCCAGAAAGTGCAAACTTTATCTCTGATATTTGGGCAGACAGGCGTGCAGGGCCCGTGCAGAGCCAGTATAACCTAAAGTAAAAGCCTAACCCATTTGTTTTGGCACAGAGAGTAAATTTGCCTTATTTTTAGGCACTAGTCAATTTAAACAAGCATTTTCTAGTATTTTTCTGGTACCTACTGGTGCAATGATGCATTTCCCTCCATAGGAAAAATACTAGAATACATTAAGACACGAATTGAGACCATATGATTAAATAAAACCCATCAATTTGTCTTAACATAATTAACTATCTGGTGTTGTAATTGTTCATTCCCTACAACTAATCCAATTGCTGATGAGGATTTTGACAGCAAAGCAAAGACTTTGGGGAATACTTCAGCAAATCTATGCTTATTAGCAGTCATCAAATCATACAGCTGGCATAACCAAACCAGCTTGCACAATGAAGAGCCAGTCCTTGCCAAGCATGGTACTAGTGGACCCCAGAAAGCCCTGCCAAACAGATAACAGTGCACAACGGAACATTTCATCTCTAATTTATCTATTTTCAAGTTTGCCCTCCTCTGTTCATGGTACATAGCAGCAAGGGGCTGTGGTGGAGGCTGCTTTCCAAGTCCACATGTTGGTCTTGCATACACAAGGTAAACCCAGTGTCACCCAGCACACACCAGATGAGCGTCCCCCTACTCCAGCTAGCTCACCACGACCAACATCAGAACCTGCCTCGCAGGTGCTCACCCCTATTCAGCATAACAGAGCATCTCACGTTAGCAGCATCTATTAATGATTACTCTGCTAGCACATCTTCCTTCTTGTTCCCAAGCCACAGTTTGGTCCTAGATCACGTTTGCTTTGGAACCAACAAGCATTGCCCATGAAATACTTCAAGAAAATTTGATTCATGGTTTTAAGCTGCTTTGTGCTTGGACAGTAATTTGTGCCACAGCAAAGAGTGATCCATGACTAAAAGCCAGTCCAGACACCCCACTCCAGGTTTTGTTTTCACTCCCCAGAACAAGGACACCGCTGACATTTTCATTAGCTGAGCTTTGAGGACTTTTCTGCAGCAAAGACAATGAAGTTGGAAAATGTTGTAGTTTTACACAACACAGCTGCTCACTCACCCTTCCCCTTGCCCTTTCCCGGGGATGGGGGAGAAAATTAAAGGTGTGAAGGGAAAAGAGACTCGTGGGTTGAACAAAGAACAATTTAAGAACTAAACTACAAACATATTGGAAATAATTATGATAATGATAATAATACATACTAATATACCGATGAGTGACACACAGTGACACCGCTCACCACCCAATGACCAAGGCTCAGCCTGTTGCTGGCTAACAATCCCGGAGCAAGGAGAGTCCCAAAAGCGCAACTCCAGAATGGAGATAAGACCACAAGTGTCCCAGAGACTGAGACAACCCCGAGAGAGGGGTGACCCAGAGGGAGACAACCCGGAGCAGGAGAGAGCCCTTCCGGACAGAGCCTCACCTCTCTCCTGGCCATGCCGGGCATGGGATGGAACAGACCATTGGCCAGTTTGGGTCTCAGCCCTAACCCTGAGGTGGAATCCTGGGCTGGTCACTGGGGCTGTGCTCCCTCCCAGCTCCTCCTGCCCCTACAGACACGGGCCCAGCAGAGAAGCTGGAAAGTCCTTGACTGTCCTGGCAGCAGCTCTGCCCATCAGTGTGTGATCAGCTTCTCCTCAGCACAAACCCAAACACAGCCTCACACCAGCTGCTGGGAAGAGAGTGAACTGTCCCAGCTGAAACCAGGACAGAAACTGTGCCTATCAAGCTCCAGAGCCACTAACTGCATCCTCCATGAACCTCTTTTCCCACATCATGCCCCAACAGTGCCTGCAGGAAGGTGAAGTTGGTCTGGGATTGGCAAGGCAGAGACCCTCTCCCCACTCAACAGGCTCCAGAGTTTTGTTCCTCATCCTACAGCAGGATTATCCTTCTCCATTGAGATACTTTGATTCTGCAGCCAAATCTTGGATGGTTTTTTATGGCCAACCCCAAAGGCACCCAATAGGTTCACCAGCTGCAGTGACCTTTGCTACAAACGCTTGTGTACTCCAGCTGCAGAGGGATGGGGAAAGCCCAGTATCCTCACTGCAAAGGCAGTCCTCACCAGCCCTGAGAGGATTTTGACCTGAGGCCAACCTGGAAACACACGTCCCCACGTCCACCCTGCTCCATGAGGCTCTTTGAGGTCCTCCTCCCTGTGGCATGACTAGCTCCAGCTGCTCATATCTGGAGCTGTGGAGGACTGATTTTTTTCTGGGCTGACTGTCAGGCTGCCCACCAGCCAGAAATCCATCTTTTCTTGCCCTGTTGCTTTTTCTTTTCATTTATATGCTGTTGCTGTGGCAGACGATGACAGCTCAGAGCAACATCAGATCAGCAGCTCGGAGGCGAGCAATGCGTCACTTCTGTGTCAGCGAAGCAGACAACTCACTCTGGGTTTGTGTAGTCTCCCGTTAACTGGTTGAGGCCAAATGTCACTGAGATCAGACTTCTGTCTCAATGCAAGCAGCTAAACTGAGTTATTTCTTAGCACAGCGGGGGGGTATTTTCCCCCCGTTCTTTGCCTTCCCTCTCCCGCTCCGTATCAGTTCCTCACACTCTTCTGTTGACCATATGCATGGTCAACACCCGCTCACACACCCAGCCACCCAGCATCCCAGGGTTGCCTTACAACCCTCTGGCCTCAGCTAAGCCATGAAGGCAGCTAATGTCCAAGCCCAGCTAATCCAGGTCTAAAAGGTGCCCTGCAAAAGTCTAAAGGTTTATTCCAACACATGGAGGCAAAGATGGGATCGAGTGGAAACATGAATCAAGTCTTGGGCAAGCCAGGCTATCTGGGGGGTGGGAAAGAGGAGCTAGTCCTCTGTGTGGTCCTCTGGCATGCTTGGGGCCAAGCCTGGGCCAAAAGAGGCTACGGCACGGCATGACGGGGCAGGACCATGTGGTCATAGGTACCCCATTCAACTTGTGCCCTTGCTTGAGCACCAGCAACACCTCCCTGCTTTGTGTGATGCTCTGAGAGCTGTTGCATGCACTCTCCCTCGGCTTCTTCCATTGCATCCCAAAGCCAGGGTCAGAGCCAGGGATCAATGGGTGGGGGAATTCCTGCTGCTGCCAGAACACGAGTGTAGATTGGTAGCTGTCCCAACTAGTCTGGCTCACCTCTGGTGCCAGGACAGATGATGTGGAAGAAATGTTTTCTTCTGAGGCAGTGGCCCAGGTTGCCCAGAGAAGCTGTGGATGCCCCATCCCTGGAGGTGTCCAAGGCCAGGCTGGATGAGGCTTTGAGCAACCTGGGCTGGTGGGAGGTGTCCCTGCCCATGGCAGGGGGTTGGAACTGTATGATTTTTAAGGTCCTTTCCAACCCAAACCATTCTGTGATTCTGTGACTTTGCACAATGATGCCAAGGACCCACCATGGAGCTGGGCAACGCCGTGGCTCCGTCTCCCTTCCTGCACCATGAAGATGAACTTCAGCTAAAAATCCCATGGGGAAGATCATTTCGCAGCTATTTACGAGGCACCCAAAATGCTTAGCTGGAAGATTGCATTACAGGCTGTAATCTCAAATTGAGGGGGTATAAATTTGTTTTTAGAAAGCCAACAGATGATGCAGGCACATGGATAGCTGAACCTGCTCAGCTGCTCGTTGCCATGCTGTTTCCACCCTTCACTCCGCACGCAGCGGAAACCCACAGGGAAATTCATCACATCCTCCTCCCCACTGCTTTCCCACTTCCACGGCTTTTTGGTTTTTTTTCTCAGTTCTACAGTTATATTTATTGTTTCTGTACATTATCTGAAGCAGCCTGGACTTTTTTTTTGTTGAAAGATATGCTCCTAATTCCTTCGTGCCCCCAGGTGAACCCTGTAGATGACAAGTTCATATATTTTTGCAGGTTGGTAGGTGACATCAAGTCACAGAAATTTACTGGTTTGACCACAGGTATTTCTGTCACCAGGGATTCTCTTTTAGATTCAGTCAGGATTTGACTATGCATATGCACATGCAAATTTATCCATCCAATAAATGGATTTATCCATCCATTTATTTCACCCAGAAAGGCTCAAGGGATCCGTGCGCTCCTTAAACACACGGATGCAAAGCCCCCGGGTCAACCCTGCAGAGAGACAGGGGATGCTGCAAGCTTTATGAAAAGAAAAAACCCAGAAAGCAGAACAATTTTTTTCCACCTTCTTTCCTCGTAGCAACCATATTTCTGAAGCCATAGGGCTGCTGGTAAGGGATGCAGGATCAGACCCAGAGCGGGCGCTGGGTATCTCCAGCAGACAACTACAGCCCAGGGAGTGCAGCCGCCTTCGGAAGGAAAATAAAATCTGTCTTCTGCTCTTAAGCTGCCTGCGAGGCATGGGAGTTTTTCCCTTGGGTAAGGCAACCTGGCCATCTTGTCGAGGCACCCGCAGTCCATGAGGGGGTTAGGGGAGGTGTGAAGGGAGGCTAGGGCTATTTATACATCTCAATCCTATTGCGACGGAGAGGGAGATGGCAGCTCCTGGAGAGCCCTGGCTTCACTCACTGGCAGTTTTTGCAGCTGCAGAAGATCTGCTTGTTGCAATCAGCTGCCCCAGGTGCCGGAGCTGTGCCATCTCATCCTTTTTGTCCTGATTAGAGCCCCCACAACCCCTCCTCTTGCCCTGGGATGGTAGATAAACCCCATAAACCAGAGCCATCAGGGTGTCTCTCTGAGTACTTCTGCAAAGAACCCAACAGGCTTTTAATAGCCCAGGCGCCTGCAGCTTGTTCCCCTGGATGTGCATTAAAATTCACCTCGGAGATAGGAACAGGGTGGGAAGTTAGCATCCATCCTGATAGCATACAGTGAGTAAAGGCTAAAATAGTGGGAGCAGCCCCAGAAGGACTGCATTTACAAACAAGCTACTAATTGCCTGCTGTGGTCAGCCACGTGTTAACCTTCTGCAAATTATTGGTGAATACATTCTTAGTAAACGAGTTAAATTGACTTGCTAATAGGAAATGAAGGTTGATGATGCACCTGGAAAATAAAAAGTTTAAAAAAAAAAACAAATCCAGACCAAATCCATGGTATGAGCAGCCGTACAAAAATTCAGCGATCTTGCACCGAGGAAAATATTGTCCCATCTCCTTCCCATTACAGGACAGAAAACTGTAGGGTAAGGAGTTCGGGGTGAGGAGGATGGAAGAGGAGGAGGAAAGCAATTGAGAAAAATTTATCAGCCGGGAAGGAATCTGTCTCACTTTCAGCACCTTCGCCAACAGCTTTCTCATTTCATTTTGCAAATGGGAAGAACTGTGCCAAAAATAACAGGCAGCCAGCGCCAATCCAGCCTGGGGTGCAGCCCGTCGTCCCACGTGTCTAGTGCCATGCAACGGGGAGCAGATCCCAGCACCAGCCCGTGGTTGGGCAAGGAGAATCCCCAACACACATTAGTGAGGGATAAAGAGCATTTTATTTGCCTTATTTGCTTGTCTAGTGCCAAGCAACAGAGTCAGGCTGGAGCCCTTGAGATGGGCAAAGGGCTGGTCTTTGGGCATTGGTGGAGCGTGGCTGGGTTTTAGGTGGAAAAATTAGGTTTTGGAGGTTTGTCATCCTCCTGCTCAGAGTCTTGGGTATTTGGTGGAAAAAGGTTGCAAAGGGGCTTAGGGGAACAGGGATGAAATGAGTTCCTGCATCACTGTTTAACAGCTTGATGGTCAAAGAGCCCTTAGTGCACCTCATCCCCATGGACCCCTGGGCAGACACAGCAAAACACAGTTCATCCCAAAAACAAACAAAAAACCCCCACAGACCATAGAGATTGCAGATTGCCCCTGCCTGCTTGTAGGATTCCCATTCAACATCCAGGATGAGGCTTTGAGCAACCTGGTCTGGTGGAAGGTGTCCCTGCCCCATGCCAGGGGGTTGGAACTCGATGGTCTTGAAGGTCCCTTCCAACCCAAACCACCCTGTGATTCTGTGATCCCCTCACCCTAACAAAGCCTCTCATTAATTGCTGAGTGTCATGAGCTGGCAGGACTGGAGCACAAGCTCATACCCACATTTGTGGTCCATAACACTGAGCAGAGCATCTCTTCTGCACACCACGGGGGAGGAAAAAAAACACGTATGGCCCTGAGGTAGCCAAAAAAAGGCTGAGCTGGGACTTCTTCCAGAGCCCAGCCT